TTAGGGCTTCAAATTGGCATGAATTTGTCCGGAGAGTACAGGTGCTTGGAGAAAAGTCATCGGCCTTAAGAAATTCAAAGGCTATAACCTCTGGGGATCTGTTGCAGTTGATTTCAAGTAGACGATTTGGGTATTCTTCTGACAGCAAAGTAATTTCATTACGGAAATCTAATCCAATTGTGGATTTTGGAACTCTCGCTTCCTTTGCTGGCTTATGCCATGGAGCAAGTCTCTCTTCACTCTGGCTTCCTCTTGATCTGGTATTTGAAGATGCTATGGATGGATATCAAGTAAATCCAACGAGTGCAATTGAAATAATTACCGGTAATTTGCATACTCCATCTTCTTTCACTTGTGGCTTTAACGAAAGAGGAGATATCTCAAATATATAATGAGATGACTCAAACAAAAATAATGTTTTCAGGGCTAGTTAAAACACTTAAAGAAATTAATGGGAGCACATGGCATGACACCTTCTTGGGTCTTTGGATATCAGCTCTCCGACTTGTTCAAAGGGTTAGACTAATCTCTTCCTGTTTGGATTTGCTCTTTCTTGCCAAGTTTACTTACACCGTGTATTTTTGTGATTGGTTCTGTTATTTGGTTGTGTTATAATTCACTGCTATAATTTCCAAGACTTTCTTTTTCTTAAAGTTCATTTCTGCTCTTGAGTCAACCAGGCTAGACTGAAAGCTCTGTTATTTGGTTGTTAGTCTATCATCCATGATAAGTTCAGATTTTCCACATCCAATGGCCCTTCTGATTTTCTTGTCTTTCTTTATTGCTAGGAAAGGGATCCTATTGAGGGACCTATCCCTCGACTAGACACAAGGCTGTGCATGTCATTATGTATTGTACCTCTCGTGGTCGCGAGCCTTATTGAAGAGGGAGAGCATGAATTTGCCATGGAAAAGCTGCGAGATGATCTTATTACAAGTTTGAAAGTCCTTGGTGAATTCTCTGGGTTGCTGCATCCTCCAAATTGCGTTGTTTCTGCTGCCAACAAGGCTGCCACAAAGGCAATCATATTTTTGTCTGGTGGAAATGTTGGAAAGTCATCTTCTGATGTCATAAACATGAAGGACATGCCTAACAACTGTTGTAAGTTAATAAAAATTCTGCTCTGTTAAACCAATTTCTTTGTCTTCGTGTGCTTCATGATTAATGTCTTTTGATTGCCCTCATTTGTTGATGTAATGGCTTCTGACATATATTATGTATATGTCGTAGCTGGAAACATGCGCCACCTGATAGTCGAGGCTTGTATTGCAAGAAATATACTGGATACGTCGGCCTATTCGTGGGCTGGCTATGTTGATGGCCGAATCAACCAAATACCTCACAGCCTGCCGAGTGAAGTACCTTGCTGGTCGTCATTTGTGAAAGGGGCCCCACTAAATGCGGCGATGGTGAAAGCATTAGTTTCAGTTCCTGCTTCAAGGTAGAATGAGTTCTTATTTTCTTTTTGTTTCTTGTTTCTTATTATCCACATAGTCTTCCCTCCAAATCATGGCTGGTTGTAGTTTATAAGATTGAAAAATTAATCCAAGGTCACAACAGAGAGAATAGTGGTTGCATTCTAGTTTTACTTAAGTTCTGCCTCTTCTTCAGTTATTCCTTTTTGTTTCTTAGCCAGGAAGAGTCAGATGCTCTTTTTTTTATTGATTTACCGAGAGTAAAGCAACTGAAATTTAAGCTCATGGATTTGATGGAAGCTTAGCAGAGCTCGAGAAACTATATGAGGTCGCAGTCAAAGGATCGGATGATGAGAAGATATCTGCTGCTACAGTGCTCTGTGGGGCTTCTCTCACACGGGGTTGGAACATACAGGTTGGCATTATGTCTACCAGTGAATATTCGGTTGAGTTTCCTGCTTGACTACACCAGTTTGCTTAATCTGTTTTTCTTCAATGTACAGGAACACACTGTTGAATTTCTTACAAGATTGCTTTCCCCACCCGTTCCAGCAGATTACTCCGGGGCTGAAAGTCATTTGATTGATTATGCCTGCATGCTGAATGTTGTTATTGTTGGAATAGGATCTGTTGACAGCATTCAGATTTTCTCTTTACATGGCATGGTATGTGATTTATGCGACAATTGTCTTGGAATACCGAATTTGCTGCAAGATATAATGTGTGGTTTTGATGACTACTCTTTAGGTTCCGCAACTTGCTTGCTCACTAATGCCAATCTGTGAAGAGTTTGGATCTTACACTCCAAGTGTATCATGGAGTCTTCCTTCTGGAGAAAATATCTCAGCATATTCTGTTTTCTCAAATGCTTTCACTCTTCTTTTAAAGCTTTGGAGATTCAATCATCCTCCTATTGAGCATGGTGTAGGAGATGTGCCCACAGTTGGCTCCCAACTCACTCCCGAACATCTTCTTTTAGTGCGTAATTCTCATCTTGTTTCCTCGGAGACCCTTAATAGAGACCGAAACAGAAAGAGACTTTCAGAAGTTGCAAGGTCCGCATCTTGCCAACCCGTGTTTGTTGACTCGTTCCCCAAGCTGAAAATCTGGTATAGGCAGCACCAGAGATGCATAGCTTCCACATTATCTGGACTTACACATGGATCTCCCGTCCACCAGACAGTTGAAGCACTTCTCCACATGATATTCAGAAAATTCAGAGGCAATCAGACTTTAAATCCAGTTAATTCAGGCACTAGCAGTTCATCGGGAGCTGCGAGTGAAGATAGCATTCTAAGACCCGAAGTTCCTGCTTGGGATATCCTCAAAGCCGTTCCATATGTTGTAGATGCTGCTTTAACAGCTTGTACTCATGGAAGGCTTTCTCCTCGTGAGTTAGCAACAGGTTTGTGTCTCATGCTTTCTTTTGTTTTATTCGATCAGTTTGCATAAATATGAAAACAGAGAGAGAGAGAGAGAGGTTCTCATCGTGTTTTCATGTGCAATAACATCCGCCTATATGACCTTTTGCAACTTTGAATGTCAGCGAGAGATGTCTGACTGTGTTGATCAGTTGTTAAATCATATGCTTTTCTTACAGTAAAATGATCTTTGTTTATGTGCTAACAAGTGTTGTTCTTTCAGGGCTGAAAGATTTAGCAGACTTTCTCCCGGCATCATTAGCAACAATAGTTAGCTACTTCTCGTCTGAGGTGAGTAGAGGTGTGTGGAAGCCAGCATTCATGAACGGCGTGGATTGGCCAAGTCCGGCTACAAATCTATCCAATGTTGAGGAATATATAAAGAAAATTCTCGCGACAACAGGAGTTGATATCCCTAGCCTTGCTCCAGGTAAATTATGAAACTTTTATTAAACACCAATGCTGTATGTTTGCCTTACCTCTGTAAATTTCTCTCGCTAAAATAAGCTTTGTGAACTTATGGTTGATTATTACTGTGTTATTAGCAGGAGGGAGTTCTCCAGCAACGCTTCCTTTACCTTTAGCCGCTTTTGTAAGTCTGACCATTACTTACAAAATCGACAAAGGTTCTGAACGGTTTCTCAATTTGGCTGGCCCAGCTCTGGAATGCTTGGCTGCAGGCTGCCCTTGGCCTTGCATGCCTATTGTTGCTTCGTTATGGACCCAGAAGGCGAAACGTTGGTTTGATTTCCTTGTTTTCTCTGCGTCTCGCACCGTCTTTCTTCACAACCCAGACGCGGTGGTTCAGCTCCTCAGAAACTGCTTCAGTGCCACTCTCGGATTAAATGCTGGCCCCATGTCAAATGATGGTGGTGTTGGAGCTCTTCTTGGCCATGGATTTGGCTCCCATTTCTATGGCGGGATATCTCCTGTAGCACCAGGGATTCTCTATCTCCGTATGTATCGTGCTCTCAGAGACACTGTCTCTGTAACGGAAGAGATTTTCTCTATCTTGATACATTCCGTGGAGGATATAGCCCAGAACAGGCTCTCGAAGGAGAATCTGCAAAGGCTGAAGACGGTGAGGAACGGATCAAGATACGGACAAAGTTCACTAGCGACAGCAATGACTCAAGTCAAGCTTGCTGCTTCGCTTAGTGCCTCATTGGTATGGCTAACCGGTGGCATAGGTGTGGTCCACCTACTCATCAAAGAAACCATCCCGTCTTGGTTTCTATCGGTTGACAAGTCAGACCGAGAACAACCATCAGATCTAGTTGCGGAACTAAGAGGGCATGCCCTTGCCTACTTTGTGGTCTTATGTGGAGCATTCGCTTGGGGAGTGGACTCGAGATCAGCTGCATCGAAACGCCGCCAAGGAATCTTGGGAAGCCACTTGGAGTTCCTCGCGAGTGCCTTGGACGGGAAAATATCAGTGGGATGCGAGACAGCAACTTGGAGGACATATATTTCCGGTGTGGTGAGTCTAATGGTGAGCTGTTTGCCACGTTGGGTCAGAGAGATCGATAAAGAAGTGTTGAAGAGTCTGAGCAACGGACTGAGACAGTGGGGGAAAGAGGATCTAGCGGTTTTATTGCTCTCCATGGGAGGTATTGAAACAATGGATCATACAATTGATTTCATCATTCATTTGCGTTCTTAGCTTCTTACAAGTTTTGTTCTCTTACAGGTTTCAGGTAGTTTTTAGTTTGCTTTGCTTTTGATGATAGATGTTTTTGCTTAGTGTTGCTTCCTTCTTGTGCCTTGTCCTCTGTAATTGTAGTATAGTGTGATGAATCTAACATGCATGTATAGCGGACTGGAAAAGAGACAAATCTTGTAAAGAAATAAGATTCTTATATAGCAAGATGGTTAGGTCTACAATTTGCATTATGATCTATCTTTGCTACTATTCAAGAATCAAAGAAAACAGAGGTTTTGTGTTACGTGTGACAGTGTCAACAACATTAACGGTCTCCGTGTCTCTTCTTCTCTCTTCATGATCATATCAAAACATAAAACAATAGTATTAGGCCATCTTCTCATTTCTTTGTAATCAGTATATTAATCGCAGCACATTGTTTTACAAAAAAGAAAACAAACATGAAGAAAAAGAACTTGCAACAAATTTCTATCGACTAGTTTCTCATTCTTTTCTTTTACCTTACTGGATTTGAACCAAACTTGGAACATAGTTGAAAATAAATGGCATCCATGATTTGTTTGTAGATCTTCCCAAAGGGATTTCTGTGTAATATTCATCGTCTTCTCCAATAATGTACACCATGTTCCTGCTGCCCCAACAACTTTGTCTGCAACACATCGCCACTTTCTTCTCCTCGTCGAGTAAAAAAGTCATGAAAAGCGGATAACGTAATTCGATAAGCTCTAAATCATCTGCAAAGCATATGCTCCACGACAACGCAGCAGCTTCGTTATCAAATTTATTATTAGTCACCCACAACTCCATCTTTAATGGAAAAAAGCTCTGTTTCAACACTGAGAGTTGTTCTTCTCTAACAAGAGATAAATTAGTACACGTCGTCTGAGTTGGAGGAAGACTCAAACGTCTAAATCTCTCTGTTGTGAAATCAAAACAGAGTATGAATACAGACTCGTTGTCTTTTCTATCTGAAGCAACCCAGTAAGTATTTCCTTTCAAAGACACTCCCTTACCTACATGTATGATGTTGTCCCAAGGGACATCGTCATCAAGAACCCTCCACGAGTTAGATATAAACTCATAGATTTCAAACACAGCATTTGGGTTGTAATGATTCCGACATGTCAAGATTTTGTAGCTACGGCAAGATTTGTTGTTTTGGTATCCTAGAGCAAACTTGGAGTCTTTCTTGAAACGAGTTTTGGCATGGATCCATTTTGTCTCCCCTGAACATGGATTCCAAACCACGAGTCTGTTGTGCTTTGTGGTACATAACAACAATCCGTCGCAGTGAAAGACTTGGACTATGTCGACTTGTCGTGAATCAGAGTGGTAAAAATCCTTTAGGACAAGTGCATCCTTAAACTCTATAGATGGATCGTTGAGATTGATCTCAACGCTCATTGGACAAACCTTGAATTCCTTCAACATGAGAAGTAGAGACTGCTTTGGAGCTTTGTATGGTGCTTCTTGGTGAATCCTTGGTCTTTGAACAAAGCGTTCCATCGTTTGCAAGTAGGTCGCAGCCGTTTCAGAGCTGTCGCAGGAACCCTGGAGAGTATTTCCTCTAACAAATCCGGAGGAAGCTCGGACATCCTCATTGTAATCTCCCCCAAGAAAAGAACTAAAGAAGAGAGCTACTAGGGGCTACTAGGGGCTCTCCGTATATATGTATATATTTCCAAGTACATCATTCTCATATGCCTTTTTTTGCTAACAAAATCTGTTGCGTGATTCTTTACCATGTTTATTGATCTAAATAGTACGTTTCCAATGTCCGTATTGTGTCAGCCATTGAATCTAATCATTTAAAACAAAGAATTATATATAAGCTTGTAGTAGAAAAATATTCCAAATTTTTAAAATAATTAATGTAGATTTTTCTGATTGCATCAACAATTAAAATAAATATATTCTGCCAAATTAGAAGAAATCCTTTTTTTTATAGAAAACGTAAAAGTTTATATAAGATATAAAATAATGTCTGGTATAATCATCCCACAATATCAGAAGATCTCAGAATTTTCTTAAATATAGGTTATGTAACTTGCCAAAATCACAAAATATAAGTTTACAGAGAAATAGATTACATGGATGATGTGGTGCCATTGATGTGGTGCATTAAATTGGTTCAATATAAAGTTTTTATAAATGGCCAACCAAAAAGACAAATAAACCCAAAAAAGAGTTTTGGTCAAAAAGATCTCTTATCACCTATTTATTTATATTATATACAGATGTTTTAATAGCAAATATTAAAAAAAGCAGAAAATGATAAATCTCAAACGGGCCTTAAGATCGCGAGAGCAAGCCCGTCGTTATCCCACTTACTATTTGCTGATGACAGCTTATTTTTTGTAAAGCTATAAAGGAGGAATGTCAAATGATACTAAACATACTTGGTCAGTATGAGAATGTATCAGGACAAAAAATAAACTATGATAAATCATCGGTACAATTTGGTCACAAGGTTCCTGTTACTGTACAAAACGAGCTAAAACAGCTTTTAGGCATAACAAATATAGGAGGCATAGGATACTATCTAGGACTCCCAGAAAGTTTTGGAGGGGCAAAGAGTAAAATCTTTAATTATGTAGTAGAGAGACAACAAGATAAGGTAAATGGCTGGATCTCAAGGTTATTATCAAAAGGAGGCAAAGAGGTTCTAATTAAATCAGTAGTATTGGCAATGCCAACTTTTGTTATGTCCTGCTTTCGTCTACCAAAAGCAGTAACCACAAAATTAACTAGTACGGTATTGCGATACTGCTGGTCTTCAAATGGGAATAAAAAAGGAATGCAGTGGTTGGCATGGCCAAAAATGTGTAAAGACAAATCAGAGGGAGGAATGAGCTTTCGTAATTTGGATACTGTTAATACGACATTATTGGCTAAACAGATGTGGCGATCAATAGACAAACCACAGTCTTTGTTCTCAAGGGTCTTTAAAGGACGGTACTTCCGGAAGTCGGATCCTCTTGATCCTATCAAATCGTACTCTCCGTCATATGGATGGCGTAGCATTATCTCAGCATGACTCTGGTTATTAAAGGGCTAATGAAAAGAGTTGGATCAGGCACATCTATCTCTGAATTGAATGACTCTTGGATTCCTTCCTCTCGCCCGAAATCTGCTATATATAAGGGTTATAACTATTACCCGAATTTAAAGGTTAATCACCTGATTGATCCAACAACAAATACGTGGAATTTAGGCCTAATTAATGCAATTATCAATCCCGCGGATGTAAAAATAATTCGAAGTATGCCTATAAGCAATACATACAAACCGGATTCTCTAGGCTGGTATTTTACAAAGACCGGCCATTATACGGTAAAATCTGGTTACCATTCATTTGCGTTCTTAGCTTCTTACAAGTTTTGACCTCTTCCAGGTTGTTAGGTAGTTTTTAGATTGCTTTGATGGATGTTAGATGTTTTTGCTTAGTTCTGCTTCCTTCTTTGTGCCTTGTCCTCTGTAATTGTAGTATAGTGTGATGAATCTAACAAGCATGTATAGCGAATTGGAAAAGAGACAAATCTTGTAAAGAAATAAGATTCTTATATAGCAAGATGGTTAGGTCTACTATTCAAGAAACAAAGAAAAGAGGTTTTGTGTTACGTGTGACACTGTTTCGTGGAAAACAAGTCAACAACATTAACAGTCTCTGTGTCTCTTTTTATCTCTTCCTGATCATATCAAAACATAAAACAATAGTGTTAGGCCATCTTCTCATTTCTTTGTAATGAGTATATTAATTGCATCACGTTGTTTTACAAAAGGAAAACAAAAATGAAGAAAAAGAACTTGTGACAAATTTCTATTGACTAGTTTCTCATTCTTTTCTTTTACATTGCTGGATTTGAACCAAACTTGGAACATAATCGAAAATAAATGGCATCCATGCTTTGTTTGTAGATCTACCTAAAGGGATTTCTGTGTAACATTCATCGTCTTCTCCAATAATGTATACCATGTTCCTTCTGTACCAACAACTTTGTCTGCAACACGCGGCCACTTTCTTCTCCTCATCGAGTAAAAAAGTCATGAAAAGCGGAAAATGTTGAAAATCCACTGTAAAGCATCTTCTCCACAACAATGGTTCTTCAGTATCAAATTTATTATTAGTCACCCACAACTCCATCTTTAATTGAAGATAGCTCTGTTGCAACAATGAGAGTTGCTCTTCTCTAACAAGAGATAAACTCGTACCCGTCATCGTCTGAGTTGGAGGAAGACTCAAACGTGTAAATCTCTCTGTTGTGAAATCAAAACAGAGTAAGAATTTAGACTTGTAGTCTTTTCTATCTGAAGCAACCCAGTAAGTATTTCCTTTCAAAGACACTCCCCCACATATATGTATGAAGTTGTCTCGAGGGACGCCATCAAGAACCCTCCACGAGTCAGAGATAAACTCATAGATTTCAAACTCTCTATTTGTGTCGTAATGATCCCGACATGTCAAGAGTTTGTAGTTACGACAAGATTTGTTGTCTTGGTATCCTAGAGCAAACTTCGAGTGGTTCTCGAAACGAGTTTTGGCATGGATCCATTTTGTTTCCCCTGAACATGGATTCCAAACCACGAGTCTGTTGTGCTTTGTGGTACATAACAACAAACCGTCGCAGTGAAAGACTCGGACTATATCGACTTGTCGTGAATCAGAGTGGTAAAAATCCATTAGGGCAAGTGCACCCTTAAACTCTATAGATGGATCGCTGAGATTTATCTCAACGCTCATTGGAAAAAACCCTAAATTCCTTCAACATGAGAAGTAGAGACTGCTTTGGAGCTTTACGATGGTGTTTCTTGGTGAATCCTCGGTCCTTGAACAAAGCGTTCCATCTTTTGCAAGTTGGTCGCAGCCGTTTCAGATCCGTCGCAGGAACCCTATTTCCTCTAACAAATCCGGAAGAAGATTGGATATCATCATTGTGATTGTTGGAAATCAATCCAAAGTCCCACATCGGAAATTTAGACTAATATGGTCTACTATATAAGTAATGTCCAACTCTAATTAGTATGAGGCCTTTTGGGAAGGAACCCAAAAACAAATCCGTGCGGGCTTTGTCAGTTAGGCCCAAAGTGGACAATATCATACTAATAGGGAGTTGGACATGGGCTTAAAAAGCCCAATAAATGGTATCAGAGCCTAGGTCAAGGAAAAATGGACCTGGAGTAGTGGGTTGGGCTGTATGTTCGTTGTGGGAAAGAAACCCTAGAAGATGACTTCGCGATTATACAAGAATCGCGAAGTACAAGATGGTATTAAGTATGGCTGTATGTTGAGATCAAGAGTTATAGAGTCTTTGGCTTGAGGGGGAGATGGTTGGAAATCAATCCAAAGTCTCACATCGGAAGTTTAGACTAATATGGTCTACTATATAAGTAATGTCCAACTCTAATTAGTATGAGGCCTTTTGGGAAGGAACCCAAAAACAAATCCGTGCAGGCTTTGTCAGTTAGGCCCAAAGCGAACAATATCATACTAATAGGGAGTTGAATATGGGCTTAAAAAGCCCAATAGTGATCTCATTCTCAAGAAAAATAAAAAAGAGAAAAGCGACTAGGACTCCGTATGCAGAAATTAGGGTTTTGAGATTTTGATCCAATTTTTGTCTTATATATCACGAAAAACTACATCACTCTCATATTCCTTTTTTTTACTAACAAAATCTGTTGCGTGATTATTTATCATGTTTATTGAGCTAAAAAGATACTTTCTTAACAAACTATAATATCTTTGAAATAAAATTGGTGCGGCACTGCGGCTGACCTTAGAAATTAAGCTCTGTCACATGCTTTCAATGAATGTTGTTTTCATTTCATATCATCATGATTGCATATTCGCATTGTCTACACTAAAATGACGTTATTGTTTTGACTTAGAAATGAGAAAAGAACATTTTCAATGGCAAAGTGTTTGGTCCCACTCCCCACACATGTAGCTACAGTAAAATTTGTTGTTTTGGTATCCTAGAGCAAACCCTGAGTGTTTCTTGTAAAGAGTTTTGGTTTGGATCTAATTTGTTTCCCGCAACACATGGATTCCAAAAGCATGAGTCTATACTGTACTTGGTGGTACACAACAACAAACAACCATCGCAATAAAAGACTTCAATATCGACTTGTTGTGAATTAAAATGGGAACCATTTAATGGAACCTTAAACTCTATAGATGGCGAAGCGACGCTGAGATTGATCTTAACGCTCATTGGACAAACCGTAAATTCCTTCAACATGAGAAGTAGAGACTACTTTGCAGCTTTTACGTTCTACGTGTTTTTCGGTGAATAACGTAGAGAAACACATATGCATGTTCTATATTGGTTTTTTCTTTTTTATAACTCAGGTAATCGGGAACCTCGTCTCTCTTCCGTTAGCACTATAGATTGCTGCCCATGTGTTAGTGTAATTAAAGTAGCTAGAGCTCCGAAAACTTTCTTCCTTTCTCGATCTGCCAGGTTTTGCATCTGTATTTTTGCTTGTTTAATATCGATAGCTTCGTTGTTTGTATTCATATGTGTCCTCTGATAACAAATCTCTCATCTTAGTGCAATTCCGTACTGCTTTGAACAATTTATTCTCTGATAAAGAGTAAGAGATTAATATAAAAATCTTGTTTTACCCAAAAGAAAAAAACAAAAACACGCAAAATTAAAACCATAGAGACTAAAATAGGAGGAACTTAATTACAAAAATATAGAAAATTTAGTAACTATGAAAAAAAAGAAAAGAGATCGACTTGGACTAAATAAAGTAGAAACTCTATAAATTAATACTCGATAAATTAATAAACATTCTAAATTAATAATTTTCATAGTCCCGAGTTGGGCGAGTTCAAAATATAACACAATTCGATAAGATAATAATTTTAACAAAACTTCTATGTAAATATATGATCTCATTAATATTATAAATTAATAATTATCATAAACAAAATCTGATTTAAACATATACATGAGATAATCTACGAAAATACAAGTATAGCGATGCTTTTATTTATTTTAAATTAAAATCTTTTTGAAACTCATCTTAAATTTTAGAAAGATTTTTTTAAAAATTATACAATTTTTAAAAAATTAATAAAAAATAAAGAATATTTTTACTTTGAAATTTATTAATTAATAACTCTATAAATTAATAAAATATTAAAGTCTCAACATTATTAATTTATAGTGACGTCGTGTTGGGTGAAATCGTTTTCCAAATCCACAAAACGGCGCATATTGTTAATATTATTGCTAACGAATTTGAATTTTTTCCGGCTTCATCAACTTAGTATAATACTGTATATTTTATAACAACTTTCCAAAACATGTACGAAGGGAGAAAAGGAAAAAAAATATCCTTTTCTCAGCGTTTCCTGTTTCATCATCAAACTCGCACCCTTCGTGGTCGCTCGTCAACAGGATTTCTCGGAAAGAAGTCGTGGCTCACTACGGATGCGAGACTTGGGGACTTGCACGACCTCTAGGCTCTTACGTATTCTCTTTCCTTAGAGAAACATTCAAGAATAAGACCCAAAAGGAAAAGATTAGCGTCCTGGCTTACACCGATGTTGGGTTGATTTTGGTTGGGTTTAAATCAAGCCCAACCTACTATGTGGCTAATCCTATTTTACGACAGTGTGTGAAACTCCCTCTTCGCCCTCTTCGTCTTCTAGGTCAACGGGATGAGTCATTCAAACCTGGACTCGCCACACGAGTTGAAAAGGATGTCCTTTTAGGTTACAAAGTTGTTTTGATGGATGGAACTAACATCAAAACTGGTGTCTTGGGTTTACTCGTATATTCGTCTGAGACAGACTTGTGAAGTTACAACACTCTTTATTTTCATCCTGAGTTGACCTGTGTGTCTAACATCGATCCCATTACCTTGAACGGAAACATTTACTGGTTCGGCTACAATTTCAGCTCACTTCGTTATCATGGTGAGTTTCTTGTGTCCCATGATTTATACGAGGAATCTGATTTACACGTTACCCGGATGAATGGCAAGATCCGATATACACAAGAAGTTGCACAATTTCTCAAGGATTTGTCATGTATACCAACATCGTCTGTAAAGGCTATGAGTTTAAGTTACATATGTGGAGGCTAAAGAGCTGGGAATGGCAATTAGTGTCTGAAATCTCCTTGCTTACCAAGGAACATTATTTTCACTTGGGCATATAAACCCTTTTGACGGCAACATAATCTAGTCGTGGAACAAGATGTTTGCATCTATAAACTTTTCCTAACGACAGTTTGGTTTTCACAACAACTTGGAACGTAGCAGCGACGTTCGCACTCTTAGATTTTCCGGAGAATGGGACTCAAAGAAGAACAAGGACAACCTCTGCGAACTATTCACTTTAAGGTTTGTTCACCCGCGTTGGCTGCATTGGATCCCTTCCTCACCATCATGAGACATGTACAATATTGCTTCTTGATTTTGGATGATGTTGTTTCGTTTCTTTTTGAGCTTTTTCTTTTTTCTTTCTTCTTGTCCGGTTGAAGAGATATCTTAAAAGAACAACACTTGTTAGCACATACACAAAAATCACTCAACTGTAAGAAAAGCTTATCCGTACTAACGTGACAAATCTCTTATATTATTATTTGAGTAGACATTTGCATAGATGCAAATGAACCTTTATTTATAAGATAATACAGAATATTTTACATAAATAAATTTTATTTATAAAATATTATATAAATAAACTTTTACTTAGAAAATATTATATAAATAAATCTTTACTTAGAAAATATTACATAAATAAACTTTATAAATATAGAAGTTCAATTATATAATCCAAAGTTAAAACGATGAGTGAAGACTAGTAGCTTAAAAAACGTTCTCTGGCCCGTTTTCCTAGGTTGTTTCTAACCACCTTGTTTGTCTGAAAGGGACTGTTTCCTACCCTGTTTTTTCTAAAATAACAACTTTTCAAATCCAAAACCACTTTCTGGTGTCTCTTCCCTGGGTTCCACCCCCGACTCTTGTCGGAGGGTCCGCCTCGCCGTTTTCTCCATCAACCCGGATGTTACCTGTGCTTCCCCTTTCACCATCTCCCTCCCCCTCCTCTATTTATGAAATATCCTATGTCTAATCGCTGAAACCCCCTCCTCAGTCTCTTTCCCTCAGCGTGCCTCTTGATAATCCTTCAAGCCTTAGCAAACTTCCTCGCTGCCTTCCCCTAGCCGAGATGTCTCACAGAATCCCCTACCAGGATAAAGGAAAAGCTGTCGCCACCTCTACTCACGACCCAAGATCGGTGCGTGTGAAGGTCAGAGATTCGGACAACTCAGCCCTTCTCTTGAAACATTCCCTCACCCTTGTGGGGAGAGTTACAAATCCTAAGTATCAAAATGTGTGGTCCATTGTTCTCTTCTTCACCAACCGGTGGAAAACCTCTGTCCGACCTATAGGTGCAGACCTTGGCCAAGGACATTTCCAATTCCAGTTTGATAATGAAGAAGATCTGCAACTTCTTCTCAATAACAGACTCTACCATTATGCAAAGTGGATGCTTATTATTCAGCGCTGGGAACCGTCGATCTCGAGATCTTTTCCGTCTCTGATCCCGTTCTGGATTCAAGTCCAGCGTTTCCCGGTTCACCTCTGGACCCAGGAAACCATTAGAAGCCTTAGTGACTCCCTGGGCTGCGAGGAGGTTGAAATCACGTCACTCTCAGCTAGAGTCAGAGTCCACGTCAATGGCTTGAAGCCTCTTGTCACCACTTCCATTGTTGAGTACCCGGATGGCGAGGAGGTCCTTGCCTCCTTGGTCTATGAAAAATTGGAGCGCCATTGCTCTCGCTGCATGATGCTTATCCATGAGGACAAGGAATGCGAGGAATTCCCCACAGCATCGCTTGTTAACTCCAAATCTCCCAGAAAACAGAACCTGGCCCCCTCTGATGCCAGGAATGATATCGACCGAGCCAGAGCTTCTCAGTCAACGAGAGATCGCGTCGAACCCCGACGGAAGGGAGAATACGATCGGGATTTAAATCCTCGTCGTAGTCCAAGACGGGAACCCCATTTGCCTCTACACCACGGACCCCTTGGCCGAAGAGCTCTTTTCCCCAACAGTGCACTTGAGGCCGCCGACAGCCTTGACTCTAGAAGGTCTTCAACCTTCCCCAAAGGGAGGACTGACCTCTCTGGAGCTTCCCTCAAACCACAGAGTTCATCTCATCGGCCAGGGAAAGCTGAGCGGGCTAAGCTCCGTGAAATCGCTTCTAGTGGCCTTTCCCAGGGGTGAACGCATTGAATTCTCCCGACCGACGAGATCAGCTTCTGAGCCCAGGGATAACCCCGTGACACCACCCCCACTCATTCCTCAAGGAGCTCTAAATGAGGCTATTGACGAGCTCAGGAATGTCATGACCATATATTCCAGTGTTCCCGACCCTACAGAGCAAGCAGCAAGAAAGGAACGAGTTAGACAAGCAGAGGAGTCAGGGCAACTCTTAGAATCTGCTGTTCACCTGGCTCAATCAAACCTCAAGACTCATGAACATACCTCGCTGGCTCTCCCTCTATCCTCGGAACGCATCCCTGTCTCGCTTTGTCTTGGTCCTATAAACCCAGAGAGTGTGATCTCTCATGGTGAGGGCCAAGGTATCTTGCCTCTGCCTCCTCCTAAGAGGAAACCTGGACGACCCCCGGGCTCCAAAAAACCCCCTCGAAGCCCCCTACCCCTGGCAAAAACTAGTACAAAAATCAGGAAGGTTCGTCGTGCGCTTCCTCCTAAACGGAAACATCCATCTGAATCTTCCTCCAGAGGGAGTGATAGAACAATTTCGAGAGAGTTTGGTGGCCCTAGTGCTGTAAACCCTCTGGATGAGGTGGGCTCTCGGGACATGAATCCATACCCCAAACCTCCAGCTCCAGGTCCGACATCTAAGACGAAGAAACGGCAGGTGGATTTTCATCCACCATTAAGTCTGATTCCTTAAAAGTTGTGAGTTGGAACTGTCAAGGCTTGGGGAACCCCTTGACAGCCCAACGAGTAAGGAATATCCGGCGCAAGCTCTTCCCGGATATTTTGTTCCTCTCTGAAACCAAAAATGCAGACGCCTTTATCCTAAACAAACTTAAGAGTCTCAAATATGATCACCACCATTTGGTTCCCCCACATGATATCTGTGGCGGAGGACTGCCTCTCTTTTGGAAGCAAGACCTCAACTTGGAAATCATCTCATCATGTGCAAATTACATCGACACCTCCATTCGCTATGAAGGCAAACTCCTGTTCATCACGCTGGTGCATGGGGACCCTGAGCGATCCAAACGCAAAGCGGTATGGGATTCTATCATCTCCCTCTCATCCCTTCGCGAAGCCCCATGGTTTCTTACCGGGGATTTCAACGACATCCTTGACAACTCCGAGAAGTAAGGTGGTGCGGTGCGAGCAGAAGGCACCTTCATTGATTTCCGTTCATTCTGCTCTGAGGGTGATCTGTACGACCTGAATTTCTCTGGGGACTGCCTCTCATGGCGGGGGGGGTGAGAGGCGAGCACTTGGTCCGGTGCCGCCTTGACCGAGCGATGGCCAATAGCGACTGGATCGAGCAATTCCCCTCAGCGCGAAGTGAATACCTGTCCTTCGAAGGCTCCGATCATCGTCCGATCATGTCCCACTTTGAAGTCTCGAAGAAGAAAAGGAAACGCCCATTCCGATACGATCGTCGCCTCCGATGCAATACGGAAGTCTCTAAGCCCATTGAATCCACTTGGGCTCAACGCCCACCTTGCTCTGTAGCTCACCGTCTCACAAAATGCAGATGAGCCTTAATTGAATGGAATAAAACCCATCACCAAAACAGTCAAAAAGTCATCTCATCGGTAAAATTGGCTCTTGAAGAGGCGATGTCGTCTCCGGTGAACGACAAACCGTTAATCTCCTCTCTGAATCTACAACTCCAAAAAGCCTACCAAGATGAAGAAGAATTTTGGAAACAGCGGAGCAGAAGCCTTTGGCTGAGCCTCGGCGATCGAAACTCGGGCTATTTTCATGCTATCACCAAAAACCGGAAGGCTATGAACAACCTCTCTGTCATTGAAGATGACGCTGGTGTCCCCAAATTCGGTGACAAGCAAATCACTGATGTGGTGGTCTCTTATTTCGAAAAACTGTTCACTTCGGAAGACAATGATAGACGCGCCATAGTGGAGGAAGCCTTAGACCCTATGATCTCGGAGGACGCGAACAGACGTCTAATTGCGGACCCAACGGCGAAAAAAATCAAGCTCGCAACCTTCTTTATCCACGCGGATAAGGCCCCCGGACCGGATGGTTTTCCCGCTAGTTTTTCCACTCAAATTGGAATTCCATCGGCCCCGAGATAGTCTCTGAAATCCAGGAGTTCTTCTCCAGTGATGTTTTACCGGCTAATAGTAATGATACCTTCATTAGACTGATTCCTAAAGGTCAAGGTGCAAAGAAAATGTCTGACTATAGACCAAATGCTTTATGCAATGTCTATTTCAAGATCATCTCTAAACTTCTAGCAAGACGTCTCCAACCGATCCTGGGTACTCTCATCTCTGAGAACCAATCGGCCTTCGTCGCTGGCCGAGCAATTACGGACAATGTCCTGATAATTCACGAGATGCTGCACTTCCTCAAAACATCTACTGCCATTGCTCCATGGCCGTGAAGACGGACATGTCTAAGGCTTACGATCGCCTCGAGTGGGACTTCATCAGGCTGGTCCTCTCTCGATTTGGCTTCCACCAGCGCTGGATTGGCTGGATTATGTGCTGCGTCAGTACGGTAACTTACTCTTTCCTCCTAAACGATGGACCTAGTGGCTCTGTCAAACCATCTCGAGGTATCCGACAGGGTGATCCCCTGTCTCCGTACCTATTTATCTTGTGTAGTGAAGTTTTGTCTGGTCTGTGTCGGAAAGCTCAATCTGATGGCTCACTGAGAGGTATTCGGGCATCTCGACATTCACCCCGCCTTAGTCACCTTCTGTTTGCTGATGATACGGTGATTTTCTGCAACACCAGTGTTGACAACACAGCTGCTCTATCTAATATTCTGAAGAAGTACGAGAAAGCCTCTGGTCAATCCATAAATCTCAACAAATCTTCTATTAGTTTTTCCAAGAAAACCCCTGCTGATATTCGCTCCCGGGTAATGAATGCGTTAAATATCCACAAAGATGGAGGAGTTGGGAAATATTTGGGGCTCCCCAAACATTTTGGCCGCCGCAAGAAAGATTTATTTACGAGCATCGTAGATAAGATTCGACAGAAGGCTATTGGTTGGTCATCCAGGTTCCTTTCTAGTGCGGGCAAATTGATTCTCCTCAAAAGTGTGTTGTCCTCGATGCCATCGTATGCAATGAGCTGTTTTAAGCTCCCTGGATCGCTGTGCAAGAGGATTCAATCCGTCATTACCCGTTTCTAGTGGGATGATACTCTGGATAAGAGGAAGTTATGTTGGGTATCCTGGGATAAACTCACCCAAAGCAAAAGGAATGGTGGATTAGGCTTTAGGGACATCGCCTGTTTCAACGATGCTATCCTCGCCAAGCAGAGTTGGCGGATTCTCCAGAACCCTGAAAGCTTTCTGGCCCGTGTTTTGATCGGAAAATATTGCAGGGGCTCTTCCTTTCTTGAAGCCGTGTGCCCTTCATCGGCGTCACATGGATGGAGAAGCATGCTCATCGGTAGAGACCTCTTGAAGAAGAATCTTGGTTGGGCCGTGGGAAACGGCAAGAGTATTAATGTGTGGAATGACAACTGGCTCTCCACCTCCTCCCCTCTAGCTCCAGGAGGACCATGCCTTGAGGACAACGAGAATCTTCGTGTCTCTGACCTCTTGGACCTGACCACCTTAACCTGGAATGCCTTGAAAGTCCTGGATACCATCTCCCAGGTGGCCAAGATTGTCTTATCCATTAAGACGAGCATGTTCGAAGCTAATGATAAGAGGATCTGGTTGAAGGAGAAATCCGGGATTTACTCCACCAAATCTGGCTATTTTGCTGCTCTCGAGGAGTTTCCACACCCTCCTTGTAGCAACCAGGTCGACTGGATACCGGATATATGGTCTCTCCCGACTGCTCCTAAAGTTAAAAATTTCCTGTGGCGCTCTGCGAGAGGAGCTCTTCCTGTTGGGGCTAATTTAGCTACTCGCATTCCTGATGCTAACCCTCTGTGCTGTAGATGTGGCCTCGAGGAAACGCCTGAACATCTCCTCTTCCTCTGTGAGTTTGCTAAAGCCATCTGGCAGAGAGCTCCGCTAACATCAAGACCGGACAATGAGGGTCTTCAGCACTTTGCTAATCTATGGAAATCGGTGAAAGACTCTGAATGCATCCCTTCTACTGATCTCCCAAAAAGTGTCCTGGCACCTTGGCTTTGCTGGAACATTTGGAAAGCGCGGAACAATCTGGTCTTCAATACCAAATCTTTTTCAGAAATGGACGTCCTGAACAAGGCAATCTCGGATGCTTTGGAATGGTGCTCTGCTCAAGTGAATAAACCCAAGGATCCTCATCCTATGGTGTCACAACCCTGCATTGTGCAACCGCTCGGAGTAAAGTGTCAAACCGATGCAGCCTGGTGCAAGATCAAGGAAATGGCTGGCTTCGGCTGGACCCTATCTTCCCCTGCAACTGGCTCGGTCCGATCCTTTTCTCTACGAACTGACTGTGTCCCATCCCCATTAATAGCAGAAGGGATGGCGATGCGCACAACTATCTCTCTCGCTGCTTCAGAAGACATAAGGAATCTCTCAGTTGAATCCGATTCCCTACTCCTAACCAGGTCCATCAATTCCAAATCTCCCCTTTCGGAGCTACATGAAATCCTTGAGGATATCTCTTACCTCTCAAAGATGTTTGACTTTATCTCCTTTAAATTTATTCCTAGACGTTTTAATGATGTTGTTGATCGCTTAATTAAAAACGCATTGTACTCTGGCCATGCCATTTCCGGTTAAGTTATAATATCTTTTGTTGTTCAAAAAAAAAAAATATAGAAGTTCAATTAAATATTTCTCTGTAAGAGATAACTAAATATAGAGTTCAGATTTGTTTTGAATATATATGAATATAAATTAAAATTTTATTAAGTTTTTTTACTTATTAAAATATTAAAATATATTTTATTATTTTAAATAATAATCAATCCATATATATGAAAAAATCTATTTAACTTTTTGCAATATTTTGCATTTGTACATTTATAATTAATTAGTATTATTCTCGAAAATCAAGTCAATTTTTTTTATAACAAACTGAAATAATTTTTTTTCAAAATTTAGATTTTTTTTAATGGGTTGACCGAAAAAATATTTTCATAAATTATAAAAATAAATTAAGTAGACGGATTTATCCACATTGACAATCGTATATATAATAATTATTAACATATATTATATAATTTACTAACTAAAAATGATAGTTTGATACTTTGATCTCTTATAAAACATTCACAATTAATTTTTTTTATTTTATAAATATATATATTTAGATATAACCCATGTATGTATATATATAAGTATATATATATATATATTAACATTATATCAACTTCACATTTAAATACTACTAATAATTAAACCGCATAATCAAACTAGCTCAAAGTCTTATTCGATGATATATATACAAGTAAATATCGGTTGTGTGATATTTATATATGTACTCTTATCTAATTATCATCAATTTTATTTATTTATATTTTATATTAAAAGAATTTTTGTTACTAATTTTAATTTAACCAAAAAATTAAAATTGAATTTAAAAATAATTTAAAAAATATTACTCCATATAATGTGCATGTTAATTTCTAATGCAACTATTATTCGACAATACGAATAAAATTATCCGACTGTTTGTAATCTCCTATAATATAAAAAAAATAGCGATTTTTCTTTTTTTTGGACTCTTATTTTGTGCTAGGAATGCAAAAAAAAGTGTCTAGCTTTCAAAATTACTAAGTAAAGTAATGATCTTACTATTTTCATCAATCATCACACTCTATATTTATATAAATGTCATAATATATATGTTTGTGTGTATTTATCTCAAAAGTAAGATAACTTTTATGATTTTTAGCAATAATATGCATGCATTTAATCATGAAAAATGTCATTAGGTCATAATGTAATTTTATATGATAAAGTAAATATAATTGAGTATCATTTATTTACGAAAATGTCATTATGTTATTTAGCAAATGTTGCCCATAAATTACATCATCCTAACAAAAAAAAACAAGACAATTTTTACCTTTTTTAATCTTAGATTTCAACTCCTTTGTAATCAATTGTAAAATTTTCAGACTATACATGTGCACCCAAAAAAAATCTATACTATAAAGTATTTTTTTTCCTTTGAAAATTGAAGCCATCAGTTTATGATGATTGGATTTAAAATT